CCCTCTCTAGCCCCACAAGGTATACCCTCTCATTATCCCCACTTCCCAGATGAAGACACCAAGACAAAGGGGTTAAATAGCTCATCCAGAACCACCCATCTGGGGAGGATGGCAGTGAAGGTCTAGCTCTCTTGTCTCCTAGACCAGGGCCAGATGAGCTGCAGGACCTCTTGTGAGAGAGAGAGCTGGTGCCAATACTGCATGGTGGCCGCCCACCTGTGCGAGTGTGGCCCCAGGTGGCCTCTCTGAAGGCATTGCTGATTTAGAGGAATAGTCAGTGCCTCCAATTTCTACCAGTAACAATGGTGCTGCGTAGGCGCTTCCCCGTGGAATAGACCTTTTTTTTTTTTTTTTCAGGCATTGATCCTGCCCCAGGGTGTTTTCCAGAATTTGCACGGCTCCCTAATTACCTAGTAATGCTGAGGGCTTATGAAAATGCTGTCATTTGTGTGAGAAGGGGAGGGAAGACTGAAAGAAGAAGAAAAAAAAAAGCAGATAGAAAATGCTGTTAAACCTGGCAGAACTCCAGGGTGGGTAATTACATTCTTTGGGGTGTGTTCTTGCCACACACACAGTCTGTGGATTATTTTGGGAGCCTTCTGTATGAATTGTGCTAGAAAACATGAAAAATATTTTTATTACTATTATTATTTTAAACATCTTTTAAAATAAGGCCTTCCTAAAGCCACAGAGGCACCCTCTCTCAGATCGCGTTTGTGCCAATTGTTTAGCTGTCAGCAGTCTGTTCTCAGATCATAAATTTGATGGTCCCCCCCTTGCATTGCTTTACACTAGAAACCTAAAATGTTAAAGCCAGAAGAAACCTTGGTGAAACACCCATATTTTGCAGATGGAGACACTAGTCCAAGAAGGGAAGGAACTATCACTGTCACAGGTAATAGGAGGTAGAGGAGATAAAGGGCCTCCCCGGACCTGACACCTGTCCTTTCTCTTCTTTACCCCAGCCCCTGCTGTCAAATGGAGTTACAGAGTGTCAGAACCAGAAGGGCCTGTAGCCATCACCACATCTAATCTTGTCATTTAATAGATGAGGAAACAGCCTTGTAGAGGAAATGGACTTGGCCCCTAGATTGACACTGGGCATGAGAAGTAGTTGGACTCTTGTCTCCGGGCTTCTGCTGGTACTCTGTGGCCTGTTAGTCAGATCAAGCTCAGAGGCACTAGTCTTACCCTACCCCTTTTTTCCCTAAGCTTGCAATAAGGTACACCTAATATATATATGTATTTTTCCATATTTCAGGGATGTCACTATATTCCATATTCCATATATATGGAATATATATATATATATATTCCATATTTCTACTTTTCCTTGAAAAAAGAATCCTAGGATCTAGCCACCCTAGGCTTACAATTCCTCATGGTAATAATCTGCTGCTATTGAGTCCCTGTGGCCACTTTTAACAGGGAGCAGTCTCTCTAGTTCTGTTTGTCTTCCCCGTTCTCCTCAACTTGGCTCATTTCATTCATTTCCCTGCCTGGCTCAAGGAAGCATTTGCATTTGTAATCTCTGTCCAACACCATTCTCCTTGATTTGCAGTGTCAAAACAAAGCCAAAATAAGTAAATCTTAGACTGTTTTGGCTACATGGTAAGAGGACTTAAAGTATGCCAAAAATATGAGCTGGGATGGGTCATAATTAATTTGAGGAGTAGGTGCCATGCTGTCTCTAGAGCACAATTTGAGCAGCATTTAGAGGGCTTTTCCAGTGGGATGTCAGCTGCCTGGAGTTCCTCCGTTAGATGCTTAACTGCTGGACTTTAATGAGCACCCATCTTCAGATACTCCACTTTAAAATGTGAAAAGTCTTAAAAGATGATCAACTTAATTTTTCTTCAGTGTAATATAATGGGAGGGAGGTTGCAGGGTCCTGGTGCCTAGTCCCTGGCATACCAATCACTAGTCCCCTTAAGGAAGGTTTGTTAGCCTCAATGCTATTTATATTTGGAACCAGATAATTCTTTTTTGTGGGGCGGATGCTCTGTGAATTGTAGGATGTTTAGTGACATCTCTGGCCTTCACCCATGAGATTCCAGGGGTACACTTCCATAGTTGTGAGAACCAAAAACATCTCTGGACATTTTTGCCAAATATCCCCTGGGGGAGAAAATTGCTGCCAGTTGAGAACCACTGTCTTAAGCTAATCATCTAGCCACTCTTAAAACTGATACTGGGAATGGCAAATAGGATTGGGGACTCTGAGGAGAGACAGCACGATGAGCTAATAAAGGATGATGTCAAAGGGAAACAAAGCTGTTCGGTAGGTACTTCTAACCTTTGAGGATGAGGAAATGAGAAAATCACCTTCTACCAGTGGTCAATCTTTTCTTTCTCAAGCACATGCCTGCTATTTGAACTAGCATACTAAAAATGCCCCATGGCTCACCATGGGCTGCCAGGAATTCAGTGGGTTCCAAATCCTGATGCTGACCTCTTCTAAGTTTCATGTTTCCCAGTATACTCTTCCCAGTTATGCACTGCCGGCTCCAGGCTTACAGAACACGTGGTGTTCTTTCCTGCCTCCAGCCCTTGCTGGGGCTCTTTCCTTGGTTTGCATGTCCTTCCCAGTCCTCAGTTACTGCCTATAATTTCCTCATCCTTCACAGCTCAGCTCTTTTGAAGCCTGGCTGGATCCCCACAGACAGACACACTGGTTGCATCCTTCTTTGTTCTCCCACTGTTGTGTTTACATCTTTTAGAGCACTGGTCATGGTCTTTCTGGATGAAAGTTGTCCAGGTTCATCTGTCTTCTTCTTCTGCCTCATTCACCTGCCTTGACGCAGAGACTGTGTCTGATTCCTCTTCATATCACCCAGCACCTGGCACCCTGTGAGATACAGAATAGGTTCCCCACCAACATTTGAAATGAAGAAAATTATAAAGAAACATGGCATAAACAGTTGAACCTAATGTAGTTTGACCTAGATGTCTACACTTGAAATATGTAACTTCTGTATTTAATCAGTGAACAACTATGTATTTAATAGACTAAGGGGAGCTATTGACCATACTTGAGCAGGGCAGTGACGTAGACCTCTGTTTTAGGAAGATCTGCTTGACTACATGAGTTATAATGACCATGGAAAATTCATCTTTTTAACGCCATTAAAAGTCCCCTCCCTACAAAGTATGCAAAACAATTCTTACCTAATACAGGGGGGAGGGGTCTTGAGGTTTCGCTTGTGAAGGGCCTAAAGAACTTCCTCTAAAAGGTGACTGCAAGGTGTAAAGCCTTTAGTGACAGCCTGATAATTATTATTACCAGGCACAAAGCTTAAGGAACCTAAAAGATCCCCAGGTACTATTCAAAATAGTAAGATACAAAAAATGCAAATGGAGAAATTGAAAGATGGAATCATTAAATCACTGACTCTTAATGTTGGCTGAGACCTTAGAAGTGATCTTTCCTGATTCTGTTCTCTCATCTTCCTATGCTGATGCTGATTCTACCTTTAGAAGGTTCCCACCCAGTGCTTGCTGCTGTTAGAGCCTAAGAATTAAGAGCTGGGGCCTGATGGTGGTGTTTACTGTGTTTAAATGACCAATCTATTTCATTAGCAGTGAAAACTTTGGGTGAATTTTTAGACCTCTGTTTCTTTATCTATAAAATGGGCATGAGGCTACTTACACAGGTATTGTACAAATAAATGATGCAGATGCATTGCTTAGCATGTTACCTGGCACATTCAAAATAGTGAATAAACATTAGCCTTAAAAATTATTTTAGCTAATTAATTAATATATCTGAAAGTGCATAGGAAATCACAAAGCATTTGACCTCCGGGTTGTTCCTATTTTGGGACTTCATTGTATGTGGTCAGATATTTTTTTACAAATTCCAGTCCTTGTAGCTGTCACTCAAGTCCACATGATATACAGTCTTGGTGAGGGAAGTGAAGAGTCTCTGGATAAAATGGCCTATTCATATGGCAAAGCAAAATGGAGACCAAAGTCTATTATTTCTCTTTCTTACTAAAGACAAGGTTGACTTTCCTTTTCCCGGATCATCTCCTGTTGGACAGGAGACCTGGCCAGGGCGGTAAGTCAACTGCTAATGGCCATAGCACTCAAGTGTGTAGGCTGTACTATACATCTTAGTAGGTCTGTGTCTTTATGACTTAATCCCAGAAGCCTTATCTTTTTCATCTGTAAAACAAGGCTTATGGCCACTTTGCAGGATTGGAGTGAAGATAGATGGATAAAAAACTGTAAAGTTCCTTCAAAAACTGTATTCTGTGGCTGCTAGTGGCTGCTGCTTTGCATTTAACACTGTTCTCCCAAACACAGTTGATCTCTCTACAGGTTATTTCAGCAGAAACCCTGGTCCAGGAGAGTCTATGAAGTTCAAGCTTACACCAGACACGACCAGCATCCAGAGAGAACTGAAAGAAGCTTGAATCCTCTCACTAGAATCCCTGCAAAATGACTCATGTAATTGCTCTGTGTAAGTATCCTTAGTCTTTATTGTACACCCACACGATTCTGATGCTATAGACTCCTGTGGAATGCAGGGAAAGGGAGAAAGGGGCCCATTTTAAATGCCTAGGATTGAAAAGAGACCACCATTTCACTTGTAAAGGTAGACAGGGACTGTCAAATATCTGGTCAAAATACCTGCCAATCACTCCAGATCCTCCCTTATTTGTCTATCTGTCATTCCTTCCATTAGGAGAGAGAAAGCCTTTTTTTCCCCTTTAAATTTCCTAGGAGGGATTTCTAGGGTCTTTCCCTCAGGAATTAGTTGTAGGAATAATTGGGCCAGTGGAGTGCAGGAGATATATCCAGCACAGCCCGTGGACTCCTAGAAAAAGTGACCTAGATCAAGCAGCTGGTGGATTGAGGACTATTGTGGGGACCCCCTGCCACCTACTGACTTACAGCTGAACCCACATTCCCAGTAGCTTCAGCCTGGGGGCTGGGGGAGGGGGCAGAGAGAGCTCAGAAAGGCGAGGGAGGGTAAAGAGGACTTCGAGGTTGCCCCTTCCAGGACCAAGCGCCACGTGTCACCTCCCCGCCCCCCCAACCTTTCTTCACACACAGAAAGGAGGATAAGGTGAGGACGGAAGGCAGGGGGAATAAGTAGGAAGGTCGGCTGTGGAACTCCAAGCTGGCTCGGTGGGTATTAGCATAGAGCTTACTGCCTGTGTGAGTGTGAGGGGGAGAGCGAGAGAGAGCAAGGGAGGGAGAGAGAGGCAGGCTGCGAGGGGAGAGGAGAAGGAGAGGGGGAGCCAGCGCTCCAGCTAGCATGAGGACGGGCTTCTCTTCCCGTGCTCAGTTAATCTGGCTGTCAGTTGGTGTTAACGCTGCAGTTTAAGTGCTCCGATTCCAAGGGAAACAGACAAACCTCACTGAAGGAAGGAAGGAAGCAAGCAAGGAAGGAACAGCAGGAGGAAAAGAACAGGCAGAACAGCGAGAAGAATAAAGGGAAAGGGGGGAGAAACACCAAATCTATGACTGGACCTGGGCTTCTTTTTCGCCAATGCAAAAAGGAATATGCAGCACATTTTTGCCTTCTTCTGCACCGGTTTTCTAGGCGCGGTAGTAGGTGCCAATTTCCCCAACAATATCCAGATCGGTGAGTGAGGGGGCAGCCTGGGGAGGGACTTTCTGGGTCTGGCCAGGGATTTTCTGGGGCGTAGGGGTTGTGTACCCCCTCCCCGATACTGACTGTTGTGCTTGGCTCCCTAAAGCTGTGCTGCAGTAACAGAAGGGAGACTTGGGCTGCCAGCCAGAGGAGGGGGCTTCTCCTGATCGGATGAGGGCAGAGGGGAAGTGTTCGAACACATAAACACATCCCACTCGCACTCCAGGCAAGAGCATGTGAAATGGAGGAACTATCGCTTTGGAGGAAAAAAAAAATCAGGCTGAAAGGGGTGGTGGGTGTTTAAGGAGTTAACTGTATTGCTTGGTAGATGGTGCTTGATTCCATTTTTAATGTAAGTATGTATGGTGTGTGTGTTTTCACGTGTGTGATTATATATTACATATGCACATATATATGTAATTGAAGGAGGCAGTGCTTTCTCTGCTAGGAGACAGAAAAGAGACCCTCTAGAAGAAGGAGTGAGGGGTGCTGGGTATATTGCAGCCACTGAAATAATGCCAGAAGGCCCCCACTCCAAGGCGGGTAGGCTCCCTCTCCTGCTCTGGACTCCTCCAGCTGCCTTCCCTTTGCTGTCTGCCATGCTGCGCTGGTGGTCTCCACTCCGCGGATCCTGGAACTTCCTAGCCTGCCTTTTCTCCGTTCCTTCCTTGCCCCCTCCTCTTAGATTTCCTGTCCACAGAGGTCTACCTTTTACACACACAAGCACACACGCGTACGTACACATGCTCCTTTCTCCTCCTGTTGGCTGTCCGTTATCCTTGTTACTGGGCTCCATCCTCTCAACTTAGAGGCAGGTTGCAACATGCTGCATGCTTTTCTTGTTCCCCATTTCCCCTTCTTAGTTGTTGCACTTCTGAAAGGCCCTGCCACCCTCTCTGTATTTCTGAGGGAACTGACAGATATTGCTACTCCTGATAATCATGAGGGAAAGCAAAACAAACAGGAGCAATAACGCCAACCACAAAGCATGTCCACAAGGGCTTGAGGCTTCCGTGTGACCAGGATTTCAGTGTCGTTTGTGTCCCGGAATGAAGCAAGCTGCTGTGTTTGGAAGCATCTTTGTTGGTTTGGTTTCTAGTCTCTCTTCCCTGGTAGGGAGATAGCTGCACTAGGGAAAGTTCGCATTACTGGGAGTTTGTGCCCTTTTGTGAGTGTGTGTTTGAGGGGGGACGTGGTGCAATTGATATTTTGTCAGGCATATGTGTGCTGCAGTACCCATCTCTTTCGGCCTCTCCAACTAGCTGGTGGCTTGGAGTGGTCATGGAGTAACTTGCTTTGTTTCCTGACACCTGTTAAGCTACATCCTAAAGTGTGTATGTATCTGTGTGCTAGTGCCTTACACACAAAACTTCCTGCCTTCAGGGGAGACACTTCCCTTGTAGCCCAGCCTGTAGCCTTCTACTCCCCAACCTCCCACCCCTTCTCTTTCATTCATTGCAGAAGAGGAGAAAGGGGACAGGGCAGTGTTTGGGGTGTGGTCATCTGGGGGGAAGGGGGAGCATCAGAATCAATAATTTTTTTGTTGTTTTTATTCTTTAAAATGGGGGCACATGTACATGTGGAAATCACTGGCTCTTACATGTGGCATTGTTTACATTTGTGCTTATATACTACCTATCCTTTGTGGATGGGATGTGTTTGTCTAGTGTATTTGTATATATAGCAACTGGTATAAATGCATGAGAATGTTTTGTGTATGTGCTGTTTTCTCATGTATCTCTGCAGATTTTTAAAATTATATTTAGCCCTACCTTGGTTGTTTAACTGATAAAGCCATTGCTACTGTTTTCAAAAACAGAGATTGAAGCATTAAATTGTAGAACAGAATGCTGAAAATATCATCGCCATTAGGTAGTACTTGATTCTATTCGTGTGATCTGTAACAAAAGGCTTGCAATCCATTTATTGGTTCTTAAAAATAAACACCCACTCTACAAGAAGTTAGAAGTGCATTGTGTTTGGACTGTGATTACTGTTGGATCTGAGATAAACTTCTATGTAAACATCATTGTAGTTCAGTCTCTAGAAATGGCTGATTTTAATTCACAGAAATGTAATTGATTTACATGTTGACAGTAAATACAAAGGTAAGCCATGAACTCTTGTTTCTCGGAACAGGCACCCTATCAGGCACTTTGCTATACCTTTTACTAGAATAGAACGCTTGTATCCTCTTGAGATTCCTAAGATCCCACATCTTTGAAGCACAAGGTTCCACCATGCAAACACACAATGGCAATCCCTTATGTAACAAGTCATTCCTAGGTAACTGGGATCATGAGTGGTGAAAGAAGAAGCAAAACATTGTTTGCAGAAAAACAAGTGTTTTTAGAGAAAATGAATAATAAACCTTAGGGGCAATAGAATAGTTAGATTGCATGCAGGTCTTGCTAGGCCAAAGACTAAGAAGTGTCCAAGCAAACAGTTATAGTAGTGGAGAAGCCCACAGGGTCCCAGAGCTATATTTCAATCACCCTGCAGCATTGATTAGTACCTAATTCCCGTAAAGCTCTCTGGTGAGAGATGGGGTTGATATAAGACAAAGTAGACATGACAAGAGGGTGAGGGGGCTTATGTATATGTTTATATAAGAGAATAGCAGTTCCTAGGTGGTTTGCACAAGGGAGGGAGAGAAATAGCACAAGTCTCCTGTTTTCTCTGACTTTAGCTGAGTTGAGGGGTACACAATCAAATGTCTGAGCAAAGTAATAGATATTAGAGGCCCTTGTCACAAAAAAGCTCATCTGTAGGAGCTTAAGTGTCAGCGTCCAGTTAAGTCTATTTGAACTCTCATCTCTACCGCTCAAGGCTACAGCTAGTGAGTTTGGCATGGGGAGAAGAAAAGGACTCATCTGGGGTGAGTTGTGAGGAACTAAAACCTATCTCTAGCCCATATACCATGTTGCATTTTCTTTTCTCCTAGGGGGATTATTTCCAAACCAGCAGTCACAGGAACATGCTGCTTTTAGATTTGCTTTGTCGCAACTCACAGAGCCCCCGAAGCTGCTCCCCCAGATTGATATTGTGAACATCAGTGACAGCTTTGAGATGACCTATAGATGTAAGTAATTGTTTCTATTTCTGAGATGTCTTTCTGCGCTAGACCAATGAAAGGAGGGCCTGTGGGTAGCTGGTGGTGTTGCAAAAATGACTTCAGTTGCCATTCGTCTTCATAAGAGAAAGCCCTCCAAGAAAAATGTCTAGAGGCTTCTGAGTGATTCCAGCAGTTGGCATTTTAGCCCCTGCAATGCTTCATGGAATGGATTTGCTTTTTCACTGTCAGCTAACTTTAAATGCCAGCACGATGGGTGCTTGGGTTGACTGTATCTTCCCTACCTTGCAGAGGTTTTCTGGTCCAGCTGAGAGTTTTGCACATACGAAACTTCTGAGAGACATAAAATTAAGGGTCCTGAGTTCATGAAAATGTGGTTTAAAATGCTTAAGGCGTTTCCTATCCACAAGTTAAATGGACAGAATGTAGCTTGATAAGAAAAAATAGTTGAGAAGTTGTATACGTCTGGTTCTTCATTTTCGGAAGTGACCAATAATTATTAAAACTTGGCACCTTGGTCATTTTTAAAATGGCTTGAGAAGATTGGTTGTTTAAGACACAGTTTGTAGGATGGTCATTGAGCATCAAACAGAACAAAGGTGGCCTCAAGAAGCAGAAGGGATAGATAGATCTCTGAGATCTGAATTGAATGCATTGTAAAATGTGGGCAATGAACACCATTCTGAGTTTTCCTGGCAACTAGGAATGAAAAGGAAGCCTGTGCTCACATGATTGGCATTTTATGACAGATGAAAGCATAAAAATTAATCAGGAAACACATTTTCCCTTCAGGGATTAAGCTCAAGTAAAAATTTATGGCAGGGAAGTGTGAGCTGAATTCACAAGAACAATATGAGACCCCAAACTGGATTGAATTGGCATGATAGTCTTGCTGTGTCACTGTTGACTTGGTGACTTCTGCTGAGCTGTCTGTGATGGAAGGCGTGGACCATATTTCCTTTGTGTCTTTCTCATAGTCCCGCTGGTGAGTTCCCAGTGATTCGAATAGGCTATGCTTTGAAGTCTCAAAATGAGAAGTCAGAATTATTTCTATCCCTAAGACCACTCCTAAAATAATGTTGATACAAATTCCAAGAACTATAATTATAGCAGATTTCATTTATTGAGAACTTACTGTGCATCAGAACCATGATAAATATTTTATAGTCATTTATAGTCACATTCATTACTATGTATTAAGCATTGACTACAGCCCATGTAATGCACTAATTGCTTTTCATGTGTTAGCTCATTTAATCCTCGCAGGAGCTTTGCAGAGTACTAGACATTATCTTCCTTTTATAGATGAGAAAACTGAGGCTACAACAGGTTATATAACTTGCCCGAGGTTACTCAGGAAGCAAATGGTGGTTTTGAGACCCAAAGACCCATGTTTCTGGATACTGTGATAGATACACTGATTCTTATGGTAACCTAATCAACTAGTGGGATTACCCAAGAAATGAAAGGGAATTTTCAGGGTCTTGTAAGGCAGAGGTCTAATAAAGCACCTAAGGAGAAAAACTTATAGTATTTCAAACTGTAGCTGTGATTTGCACAGGACGGTCCATTGAATAAATAAGATAGCAATTCTTCATTTTGGTGATGCTGAGGCTGAAAATCTTGTCTACTGCGTTATTCACTACCCTTAAAAAAAGAGCTGAAGTTTAAATGTTGAATTGTAGTTTAATGAAACCATCTTTCTGGGAATCTAGAATAATACTGAGTAGCTATTTTGCTATCAGATAACCTTTCTTTTTTTTTAATACAGCTTTGATTAGGGTCTTTGGAAGGGGCATTTGCGTGTGGGCATCAGTGTATCTGTAAATGTTTGCATGCATATACATGTGCTCATTTATTTCCTGGAGCAGGGCTCCATAGCTTTTGTCATACTTTACAGCTTTTGTATTACTTGCTTAGAGGATCAAGAATAAATAGCTGGTGTGTGTATTCATACATGCTACTGAGAAATGTCTACAGCAGGTCTTGGTTGAAAGAGATGTGAACCGCTCTCCTAGTGTCAAGATGTTGACTGGTACAGTAAGGTAATAAAAGACAAAAGTAGGAGAAAAGGTTCTAAGGCAAAAGGTGGTGCTTCTGTCTTTTTATCTCAGCAACCTAAGACTTGCTCTCTAATAGGGTTAATGACTGTTTATTAGGGAGGCAGAAATATGATACAGACAATGTTGTTCATTTTGGTCAATTAACCTGGAGTGGATGAATCTGAGTTCTTCAACTTGATGCTGCCATCTATATACTAGTGTACAGGTTTCCATGAATTCCTGTCTTGTTCGTTTAGTTAATTCTTTAAATGTTTCTTCAAGGTATAAACTGAAAAAGATATTGGAAATACAGAGATGATAAAATGCCCTTGCTCTCAGGTAGCTTACAGTCTAGTGGGAAACATTGTTATGGGGATTATCTGAGAAGCAATAATCTTATTTTGTGCTTAGACTTTGTGTTTCTTTTCTTTAGCTCCCAGATCCCAAAGGGGGTACCAGGCAATTTAGGTGGAGATGGTAGACTGGCTGGAGGAACCTCTCTTAATTTTCATGTGAGGCTAAGAACTCTTTAGGGCTATGTTCGCTGTAGCCCACTGGTTTGGGAAAACTTTACATCTGTCCCAGTTTGAATTGAGCAGAAAATGTCAGTGGGAGCACAGCGGTTTTAGGAAGAATACACTCATTACTGATACATGGAAAACAAGAAAAGCATCTTATTCAGACTTAATTTTCTGTGCTGTGCTTTTTTCAAATCCGAATTAGTAGTTGCCTTAAATTAACTGCCCCATCAGTCTTAGATCTAGAAAATGACCTAATATTATTTGTTTTTTTCATAATTTTTGCTGTCATTTGATTTTTTTCCTTTGCATTTTGCTATTCATTATCCCTCCACCAGAGGGTGGAGAAGGGAAGGGAGAGGAAGTGTAATGGGAACTGTTCATGCTAGACATGTTAGCAGCCACGGGACTGAAAATGAGAAGAGGCGGTTGTATGGTAGGGAAGGTGGGGAAGATAGAAGAGGACTATGGCTACTGCTACTGGCCAAGGTGAGAGTTTGGTGCCTTCTTTGTGTTCAATCTGTCTTACTTCCCTTGTCTGCCATTATTAAAGAGTAAAACCATTGAATCAGCAACCCAACGCCTTGGGATCTCCTCTAAGCACTCTTCCAAGCTTTCAGGGGTTGGGTTTGGGGAGATTGTGCATAGAGAAGATATTTACTGATCAGCTACCCAGATTATCTTGGTGCCTTTGTGGTAAGTGTAAATAAAGGAATAAATGAAATCCTGATTGAGATTATTACCATTAGAGGTCTGAGTAGCATAGTTGCAGCTTAATTCTTACCTTTTAATTTATTCATCTATTTATTCATTCATTTGTTCAGCAAATACATACTGAATGCCTACTTCATGCCAAACACTGGGACAGATGCTAGGAATATAAGGGCCAGGAAAGAAGGCACAGCCTCTTTCCTTGTAGAGCTAACAGTTTAGCCCAGAGGTTCACAAACTTTAGCGAACATAAAATTCACTCAGGGAGCTTGTTTAAAGCAAGACTCATGATTAACTTTCTACTTCCTGAATCAGGATATTCAAGAGTAGGCCCTGGAGGAATTCTATAGCAGTTATTATGGGATCACATTTTAAGAAACTCTTTAATCTAAAAAGTCTTCCATCCCTTTAGTAAGCATTTTTGAGCCCTCAACCAAACCTAGGTATGATATAAAGTGCTACAAATGCAGACAACAGTAAGTTGCATTCCCTGCCCTGGAGTACTTTATCCATAGTAAGACTTTTTTTGTTCTGAACAGAGAAAATTAAAATGTAATGTTGCAAGTGCTATAGCAGCAATTTGTATGGAGTATTAAAGAGGCCTTGAAGAGTGGAGTTGGTCTCTAGGAGGTGGTGATTTAATTGAGCCTCAAGGATAAATAGGGTTATCTATCTGCAGAAGGGGTCACTAAATATAGCCATCCACAAGCCAGTTCCAGCACAGAGACTGAGTTCTGGGCCCACACACTGTGTACAAACCATGGAATTTCACATTAAAACTTGGACATCTTGTCTTGACTATTATTTTAAAATATTAAAATATCTGGCAACACTAGGGCCCAGGTCTATGTAGCCTCAATTTGCTGAGCTGGAACAGAGTAAACCTCATCTAGATGGCCTCTTTCCCAACAAGCCCATTCTTCTCATTTTCTTTACCTGCTGGCTCTGGCAAGCATTGAGTTTGCAAGCCCTGATTGATAGCACTGCAATGTTGTCTGTTTTGTGTCTTTATAGGTTAGCTTCACCACCAGAATATAAACTGCTGCCAGAAAGACCACGTATATCTATAGTTTAGTGTTGAGAACACTTGGAAATGCCCCTAATACAAATGAATAAATGTCTATAGGAGTCAGGGAATTACAAAGCATAAAAATGTTCAGAGCCTCAATGACAATAGGTGAAATGTAGCAACCCTAACTACAGTGGGATGCCCTCTGCTATGGACCTACTGGGGAAGCCCAGGGTCTTCCCAACAAGACATTAGGCACTGGCAATAGACAGATGGCCTTAGCTCTTGCCTGAGAATGGCTCATCAGCTTCTGAGTTGCAACACAGATTCGTTTTTCTTGACCTACACAATACTTTTTCATATTTGACATAAAAATCCAGATTTCTGGCATCTTTAAAAAAAACTTAGGGCATTAAGCAACCCTGGACCTACATCCCTGTTCAACTTCTATTGTCTAGAGCTGAGAAGTGCTGCCCTTTTTAAATACATAAACTCTCAAGTTAACCAAAGTTTCCATTACTTCCTGTCTGATTGCTAGAGTAACCGAATTATGTTGTTTGGGCAGGCCCGTTAGTAGGCCAATCTGCTCACACCTGATTTATATCGTCAGCATTCATCATTTTATTATTTTGTTCTAATAATATCTATTATTTACCCTGTCAAAAATAATAATAAAAGACACCAAAGATATATAACTCCTACCCTCAAAAAATTAGTCTGTATATAGTA